ATATATATAGTCTAGAGAAAAGAAATTTTATTAAGGCAAAATGAAATTCAACGGCTCTACAGGGATTTCTACTTATTTCGTTGTGCTGAGCCCATATATATATTATATATATATATAATGTGTATATATGATATTATAGTAATAATAAACGGATACGAATATTATAATTGTTATATAAGTGAAATAATACCATTATTATCATAAAAATGTTATTACTATTATGTATTAGTTTAGCATTAATATTATCATATCATATATGCAAATAGTATATTTGTAATATCATTAATAATAATAATAGTTATAATAATTCGTTATTAATGAAGATAATATTATTAACTCAAATGTATACATTATATATGTATATGAATGCTATAATAAAAATTAATTACTGCATTATAATAATATTGCTACAATAATACTATCAAGTATACTAAATAACTTAATAATAATATTACCTATAGCTTATCAGTTATATGGATGCGTGGTCTAAGTTTGGTGGCTTAATGATATCCCGAGGACAATGAGCCAGTGAATGGGTTCCATTTGGTATATCCTCACCACGACCATCATAGAATGGACATCATCAGAGCTGGGACTCTGAGTGTTAACTTAAGAAGGTTATAAGCATGAGTCCCAGCTTTGATGATGTCCTTCGAATGATGGACGAAAGCTCAGCCCGTTTTCACGCAAAACGAGGGAGGAGGTCTCGTCGACTGCGTCAACCTGAACGTCACATATGAGCCAAACGGCTGAGCTACAACTCGATTCATCCGTCCTCTTTCGGAGAGGTCGATCTATGAATATCTTCTTCATACACTATCCTACGAAACTAAGGTCCCAACAATAATTTTATCTCAGCAGATTCTTCTAAACCCAGTTACTCTTCATATCTATAATGTTACAAATTATTACTCTTTTGTCATCATCCTAATCGTCTTTATAATTATAAACATTAGAATATTATTATTATTATTATGTTGTTGTTGTCGTTGTTGTTGTTGTGTTGTTACCGGGGCTCGTTGAAAGTCTAGGATGTGGGCTGGTATCATGGGCATTCTTCCGTGATAATTAGGCCAGCAAATCTAAAACCATTCTCCTTAACAGATCTGCCTCAATAGTCTATCTCGTCTGGCGGCAGCTCATCTGCTCTTTCTTGTTGTGAATTCATTGCTTTCCCCTGATCTGGCTTGGTTATTTGTATTCGGATCATTCAATGACGATTGACGGAAAAAGAGTAAAACATTTTAGTTGGACTCAAACTTGTTTTATTTGCTGAACCCGTTAACTCTGCGTGTTTTGCATCAACTTCAGACGAGGAGGCAGGAGCGATGATCATCGCAGTCCAAGATTCAACGCAGATCATCGCATCCTCATCAACCTTGCCAGAGACAAACACCTTTTGACGTCGAGCAAGGCCTTCATCAGAGTCTACACTTTGTTGGAGACAAGCCTGCGTCTCGTGGTGGTTGGCAACTGCCTGCTTCGGCTGTTCGATGACCAGGTCAGTTCAGCAACTTGTAACCCTCCCTCGAGATCAAGTGGCCCTCTTATTTCCTTCTCTTCCTTCTTCTCACCCTCATCTTCCTCCTCATCAATACCACCACGAATAACATCCTCTTCCGCTTTTTCATAATAATAATAATAATCATCATCATCATCATCAAAAAAGCATCATCTGTAACAAAAACCATCGCAAATACTACTTTTTAGACTTATTATTACCAATAAAATGTATGTGATATTAAGTATTTTTAGTAATTTTAGCACCAGCCTAATGTTACTTATAAATATCAGCAATTGTATGCTATTACAATTAATATTATTTGTATCATTGTGGTGATGATATTTGAGATATTTGCTGGTACCTGCCTGTCCCGACTGTTTGATGGCCAGGTCACTTTAACAAGTTGTCTTTCTACTTCATCGTAACCACAACCACCACTACCACCACCATCCTCATCATCATCATCATAGCAAGATCAATAGTGCTATTACTGGTTTATATAATTAGTTTTTGAGATGCCACTACTGTATCTTATACTACTGTTATTATTAATATTAATATTAGCGTTAATTTTGTTATTGTTATTTATTATTATGGGTATTATACCCGGGGTAGTTGCAGCCGTGATGCTAGTTTGTCATATAGTTCCACACTTTGCTGGTGACGAGCCTGAGTTTCGTAGAGGTTGAAAATTGCCAGCTTCGACTGTTTGATGACCAGGTACTTTCAGTAGGTTGTGGTCCTACCTCGAAGCCGAATAGCCTTATCCGTATCAGTTTAAACATTCTCCTCAGTACTGTTGCTATTATCGCCACTAGTATATTATTACAAATATTACTGATAATATATGATATTAGTATTTTTAACCTCAGCATCATCGACAGTCACCGCTTTAGAGCAATCCCTTTATAGCTTCCGATGAAGCCAACTTACGAATCTCGTCTTTTCAAACGAATTAAAGCATACTCCAACATCACTCTATTAAAGGATTCTTCGAGAACCAGTTTTTCTACATACCAATTTTTCGTCCTGCCCCGAATTCGAATGGTCCTAGACAATGCAGGAAGCTCAGAAATATATAACACATTCTAAGGGTATCAAGAGGTTATGTTTCTTCAGCTTCCCCTCGTCAACAGTTTCAGCAAAACGGAGGTCCTTGATCTGTTAAGCACTTGAGGCTCGTCGACCTCGTGCAAGTCTCATCAGCAGCAAACTCGTTGAAAGTCTTAAAAAGCAGGTATGACGAAGAGTCTCAAGACAATGGGAATCCGGACACAGCTTCAATGAAACGATAAAAGTGGACAGCATGAAGTGTTCAAACTCGCGCTTGTGTTACCCACACATAATTATACATATGCACAAATTCCAAAACACACTCACACACATACACACACACAGATATGCAAATAAGCATACAACCAAGCAATTGTTTGAGTAAACGTGTTTGCTAGAAGAGCCTACATGCGCCTCTCATACAACAGGTGATCAGATCAAAACAAGCTAAGTTCGTTTGATGAACCTTTTAGCATTAAAATAACCTTAAAATGAAGGTCTCTGGGCCTTCGCAGTGGTGGTAAGCTCCATAATAAATAAAGTTATCTTCGTATCCAAGTGATTAAATTCTTAGAGAGTCATCCTATAAACTTAATAGCATCATCTAATTGATCTAATCGTGATTTGCTGTGTTTGAGGCTCACAAATAAATATATACATTTGTAAACAACGATTTCGTCGCTGTTATCATCAGTCTAAGCTGTTGATGCGAATTAACGTGTTCATCTGTTACTATAAAGACTTATAAAAATTATTTCCTAACATATAAATGGATGGGAGTCTTCATTTTACCAAAAATAATTACACTCCGATTATGCGTTCTGGCTCAAACATGCTAGTGGCCTTGTGTAGTGATGGGTAAAACTTTATTTGCCATTACTTTAGGCATACTACTGAATTTGTATTAGTAGTGAGTATGTTTATAAGTTTTAACTAACTCCGGCCTAGTCACCATTGCTCAGTTGAGGGGATTTATTGTAGAATAATACAATTTCCCGCAACCAATTTAATAGACCTTGCATTTTCAGTCAATTTATTTTTTGACTTACCTTCCAAAAAGCCTTCTCATTCTTGATGGACCACGCTTCATCGTACCACCCACAGCAATAACCTCAAAAATTGGCATCAGCATGAATGTTCCAGTAAAGCCAATCGAGAGCTGGTCAAGAGGAATCGACTTTCGAATCTCTTCACCCAACACTTTCACTCGAAATGGAAGTAAGCTCAACAACGTACTACTAGCCAGGCTTACGACTCCTTCACACAGCCATAATTGGATACGAGTAGATAACACGAGATGAATTCATCCTATTTCGTTTAAAGTAATGAAGGACCGGTAGTTTTGAGACTCTACTTAAATACGAAAAATGAGTAGATAACAGACGAGGCAAGTGAGTCTTCTACGGCAAGCAAGACCTTTTCTAAATCACATTTTTATGAGGTTTTCCGAGGGACAAACTTTTATTTGCCAGTTGGAAAGTTAGCGTTACTTATATTTGCTCTGAGTAGTGTTTGCGAAGGTCAGTAAATCTTGAATAAAAAACTAAATCCTAGATCTTGTTCACCTTCATTTCGCAACTTTATCGTATTGCCAGGATGGCGAGGCCTGAAGGGGGCAGTTGAAGGCCAATTTGTAAATAGACTTGATCACGCTCAATTCACTTCAGCTCAATCAAATGTTCATTGTCTTTTTGTTTGAACAGGGAACCTTGAGAAAGGGAGGTCACCAACTTCGGCTCAGGAGTCGGCTGCCTCTAGACGAGAATGGGTCCATTTCGGAAGAGACACTGCTCAACGCCTCCTCCATTCCTGCGGCCAGCATACTCGTTCGTCTCCTGCCATACACAGAAGTAAGTGTGCAACAATATCTCCCTCTAGTCTAATCTCGTATGGGCAAAAGAAAATTGGTAGGTATGTTCAAGTCTACTCTCAGTGTTGGCATGGCAACGTCGTCAGGAGACTCTTGTTAGCGGACTTGTAAGCTATGAACTTAACCTGGCCCACACTGGATTGTGCTGTTAAAGTAAGCTATGAATTCGGAATGGCATTATGAAAGGTGAATGCAGATGCACATTGTGGCACATGATCTGGAATGTGGAGTTGGGATGTGAATGTGAATGTGGGATATGAGTGGGGGAAAGAGATATAGAATTGGTGCGTAGATGTGGAATATAGATGTGGGAAATTAGTGTGTAATATGGAAGTGGGATATAAATGTGAAATGTTGATGTTTAATTATGTTGTGCACTCCAGATGTGCAGTCAGGTGTGGGTGCGTTTCATGTGAATGCGAGATATGGACGAGGGATGTGAATGTGGAATGTCAATATGGATGTTAGTTGGGTATGCGGGATGTTGATTTTGGCTTTTGGATGCCTATTGTGGATATAGAATGTGGAGGTGGCATATGAATGCTGTAGTTGGGATAAAAAGTTTCTATCAGGATGTGAAATGTGAATGTGATATGTTAACTGGACAGGGTAGAATGTTATGTATTTGGATTGCAGTTACATGAAGGCGAAGCGAGAAGTATAATTTTGATGTATATTCGTATGTGAACGTGGATCTTGCAAATATTGATATGGGATGTGTATTTGGCATAAGC